GATGGCCTGAGCAGGTCACCGCCTCGCTTTTGTCTTTGTGGCTCTCACTGATTTGCAGCCCCGTAGTCCGAGTTCTAAGATCAGGAGGAAAGATTTACCTAAAGCAATACAGAGATTCATCTCCCTACACTGGATTTACACGAAAATCCCGCAGACTCTCAGATTTTCAAGGGGAGCGTGTAGGCTTGCAAAGCTCAGTGGATTTAGTCCCACTTCTGCAGGTGATAAGACGTGTACTTTGAAAGCACGGAGCTAAAATGAAAGGAGGTAGCTCTTGGCTGCAAAATTAGGTGGATGCAAATTCAGTGTTGGCATAACAGGAAGTGGTGGAGAGCCCGGAAGTCCTGCCCCTCGCTTTACTCACACTGACCTTGGGCAGTTCGGGTCCCCTCTGTAAGCCTCTGCTTTTTCACCCGTAAAGTGACGAAGTGAGATGTGATCTAAGAGACGTCCAAATCTAACATTCGCTGGTTCTCCCGAGCAACATGGGATGTCGCTTGTGCTAAAGACAGGAGGACAAGATGGGTGACAGGTGGCGTACGCCTGGGTGTCAGCACCATCCCCGCCCTCACCCGCAGCTCAAACATGGGCAGGTCTTCTGACATCTAGCCTCCGTTTCCCTGTGTCTGAAATGGAGATGAGACCTCACCTAAGCTAACTCATAGACTTCTACATGAGACAGCACGTTTAAAGCACTTAGTGTAGGTATAGACAGGTGGCAAGCTTTTAAAAAGTTTACCTGCAATAATAATGAGCCGCGTGGTTATTACCGCATTAGACACAATTTGCTCTCATGCTTGACTGTCCGGTACAGGCCCCCAAAACCTCCCCCACCCTAACTTCTTATTTGCAGCAATTCATCCTATTAGCGTCGGTGCGTGTCTTTCGCGTATTCCAGCCCCGCCCTTGGTGACCGTCAGCTTTCCGTGCAGCTTTCATTGTGAATCCCCGCCAGGGTTTGTGCTGCAAAGCTTTGTGACGCTTCGAAAGAAGCCAGAATTGCCCTGTTGTCAGAGTAGCCAATTTACAGACTAAACAAACGCTCTTTGTTCCTCACACATGGATTCTCGTAACATGACGAGGGGCGCTGTGTGCCAAGGGCGCGTCTGCAGAACTCCCTTTCATGAATGTGAGGATTACACCGCCGGCTGGGTTTCCTCGGGGGCTGGCTGGGACAAAGGGGAGCGGTCCTCATGCTGAGAGGAGAAAAACCGGACTGAATATATGAGAGGAGACAAGACAGACGCGACAGGGCTACGGAGGGACAGATTTCTCAGATAAATTCCTCCAAATGCCGGCATGGATAGGCCTTAGAAACGCGAGTTTTCACACCGTTCCAGGTACACGCTGCACGAGGCCATCCATGAGCCTGTGTGGTCTCAGCCGATGGCTAAGAAATTTGTTTCAAAAACATCTGGATGCTAGTTTGGGCCAAGACAAGGTCATAGTCATTATGTCTTAATTAGCAAGTTATTTGCTTTGTGGTCCGTGAGATACAGTTGTAGGGACCAAACAGTTCGGGTTCATTTATTTAAAAATAAATAAATAAATAAATAATCACGCTTTATGCATAATAACTTCATTCTTTTATGCTTTTTTTTTTTTTAGCTGAGGCATCCTGCCACCTGTTGGCAGCTCAGCAGCAGCTCAGCTCGGGCCAGGAATGGAACTGGTCTATTGCTCAGAGCTTGCACTCTTGAGCGAGCTCTTAACCTACTGAGCCACTGGGCCAGTCCCTAATAACTTCATTCTTTTGATTGATGCGATGAAAATGTATGTATGGGCCATTTCTGTTATTATTCAGCATTCAAATCGGAATTTTGCACCCAGATATTATGGGCGGCCTGGACTGTGTAACATACGGCTCATTTGCGGAAAAACTTCCATTCACCCTTGGGCAGAGTTCTTACCTGGTATTAACCAGTGGCAGCATCAATCTCATCATCATAATTTATTCCATAATTGAAATTCCAAATTAATTTCTATAATGGAAAAAATGCTTTTGAAGAAATATGTGTGTCTGTCTTGTAAACTTTATTAAAAGGACAGAAAACATCTTCCAAACTATGAGGCAGAAGATTTGTTTAGATACCGTGATTTGATTTTTTTTTTCCTTTAGGTGAATGGAAACATAAGAGAAAATATGGGTCAGAGGGCTGAACATGAGAAAGACATAGACATAAGGGGTGGTTATTTAATAGTACCCTCCAGTGACCCAGTGATCTGGGAGGAAACACTTTTCCTCTACCCACTTATATCCAGTAAATGGGGGCCTGCAAATTAAACTGATAAAAGACAGATGAGCAGGAGAGAAAACTTTATTCGTGTGTGCATATGACAGCTTTCACAAGAAATAGCTCCATAAACGGTTAATGTTAGAGGCTTACATTCCTTACTTAGTAGGCAAATGGGAGAGTGGAGAAAAGGCCTCTATGGATAGAACAAGTGGGTTTCTAAAAGAACAGAGATGAGAAAATTTGTGATGATGCTGGTTCACGCAGGTGAGAGTGGCCTTTCTGGCTTCTTCAAGGCCACAAAACTCCCCTGAAGAGGGGATTTATGGTAGGTTTACTCTCGAGAGTAAAAGCCACTCAGAAGAGGGAATTTATGGCAGCCTTATTTTCCAGAAGCTTCTGTTTTAGTAAGACAAAGGAAGCTCCAAAAAGATTTCTTTCTGCATCCGTTGGACCCCAAATGTCCTCAGTTACAAATAACCTTCATACCAACTCGGGTTCTAAGTGGGTCCCCCTATCAGCAAGTGTACCCCAGTTTTTGTGAGCATCCTTCTGAATTCTGATTTAAGGGTTTTGCTTTTCTCAGGTAATCTTTCATGTGTGAGTAGAATAAGAGTCCTCACTATCAGATATTCAGAAACAAAACAACAGTCTATACCCTCAAATGCCATTGCTGACTGCAAACCCGGTGCTGCGTGAGTCTGTGTAGGTATGGGACAGAGAGAGAACAAAGCTGAGGGCCGCTCAGTCCTTATTTGAATGGAGGNCCACAGGTGAAACCAGGTAGGAATTGGGGGAAGAAAGGGGCTGAGGTCTTCCTTCCCACTCTGCGAGCAGTCACTTGGAGTCTCCTTGGTCTGTGGATGTTTCAAGGGAAGACAGATCGCTAGAAGGAGGAAATGGAAATGAAATACCTGAGCTGTTTGTGAGGAAGGCACATTGGCGGACTTAGAATGAGGAATTCTGATATTAGACCAAGAGATGAAGTATGAATCCTTGAGTAGCCTGCAGTCGGTGAGGAGCAAGCACCGGAGGGAGAGGGGAACACACCAGCGCAGGTGGCGCTGGGACCAGAGCCTCTTTCTGGCCTGAATCAGAGGAACCCTCAGGGTACATCCTGACTGGGTTTTTTGTACATGGTCACAGTTGCCTTCTGCCTCCCCTTCCCTGGAGTGACACATACTCCAGCTCAAAGTCACAGACTGAACTTGACTGCAGGAGAAAAATATGGAGAACCGTTCATTAAAATGTCTTTATGTACTTGTGCAAGACACTCTTTGAATCCCCAGAATTACCATTCTCCACCATCCCGTGTCATAGCTCTTCCATGAATTGAAATTCACATGGAACTCGTACATGGAACGGATTCATTAATGCGATGCATATCAATACATCTACTGCTTGTGCCCCTGAGGCATGCTCACTTCTCATTTATTCTTTGGTTAATGGGGGAGAGGGAGGAAATTTTTATACAAGAGTGTTTCGCCTCTGTTCATTCCCCAGTAAGAAACATCACCTGCTCTGAATTCAACATGTTAAAGAAGTAGATAGCCTTCTGTTTTCCAGCATCTTTGTTTTTCACAGTTCAAGTGGAAGGGTAACTATCTCACATCCCTGTCCTTATATTTAAAAGGTAATCATCATGTGAACATAATCTCCCATCCAGAATACAAGCGGCTGTGCTCTTCCCTGAAGCGCTGTTTGCCTGTGACCTGGGTTTGTAGCACGGTGTTATCACTGCCCATGTCTGTGGTCCTGCAGCATCAGATGCACAGGGGGGCTTATAAAAACACAGATTGTGGGGCCCCGGCCTCCTAGTTTCTGATTATGAGATTTTGCATGTCTTAACAAGCGCCCCGGGATGCTGGTCCCCACTTTGAGGACCGCTGACCAGGAAGTTCTAAAACTCCTTCGACATTTCATTTCTGCTGGACAGCTTCTAAAACTCGGGGCAGAGCATCAAAAAGACACTCCCTTTTACTGATTTCACTGGTGTGACAGTGTGTGGTTATGCTCATTGAAACGGTACAAGTTGGAAATGGTTCTACTCAGACTCACCCCGTTTGAATGTTAGTTTAGGAAGTTGTTTACAGGAGTTTACAGGAGGGGCAGGCGGTTGAAGGGAGAGGGGGTGGTGATTCTTAGATGCCTGTGTGTTGTTTGCAAGTGACTTGGGAGAGTGTCCTGACTCCCAAAACATCCATCACGTACTGGCTAAACTCTGTAAACCACAGCATTCCAAGGGGATTGAATCCTGATAAAAGGAAATGCCCATTACACATTATGAGAACTTTTTTTTTCTTTTCTTTTAAATAAAGAATTCTAAAGAAGAAAATAAGAACGAGGAACAATGTTAAACCATAATTTATCAGGAGGGCTGAGCAGGGGGCCTTGTTCGATACAGTACGAACTGTATCAACGCATTGACGCATCAGAAAACGGGAGAAGAATCAATCAGAACCAAGTGAGAGCTGTCAGTTTTAGCAATATCGTGAATTTCAGGAAGGGCGTTAAGAGCGTGTTAGTCAGTCCTCACCCTACCTGGCTCTCTGGTAACACTGAAGGTTCCTTTACAGTGAAGTCTCCAGCCCTTAGCCTTATCAAGTCAGTAATATTTCATCTAAAAATAATATTTCATCTTAACCTGAAACCTAAGAGTAAGATTTGAATGCAGGCATCTAAAGACGAGTGTGTTTTACAGCTGGAATATAGTGAGTGGGGTAAGGTTTTTACTTTCTCTCTCTTTTCTTTTAGAAACAGGGAAAATCGACCAAGAGATTCACAAATACAACACCCCAGGATTCACCGGGTGCCTCTCCAGGGTCCAGTTCAACCAGATCGCCCCCCTCAAGGCAGCGCTGAGGCAAACCAACGCCTCGGCCCACGTTCACATCCAGGGCGAGCTGGTGGAGTCCAACTGCGGGGCCTCCCCGCTCACCCTCTCACCTATGTCGTCCGCCACCGACCCCTGGCACTTGGACCACCTGGATTCAGGTAGAGTCTAACGCAGCCTTGCCCAGATGCTTTCTTTCTTTCGACCTCAGTTTTCTCATCTGTAAAATGGGCTCTAGAACAGAATCTCACTGGTGATGTAGTCAGAGGCCTGAGAGCAAAGGAGCGTTCAGGCACAAGTGTTCTTAGCACAGCGCTGAGCGTATATCAAGCGCTTACCATCCTTCAGCCGAAANCTGGCAAAGCTTTGACATGAGTTCACGGCACTTCCGAACCCCATGTCGCTGGCTCAGTCACCAGTGAAACGGGGTCTTGAAACTGTCTCTAGCAGCCATTATTTGTTTTAAAGCCTCACTAGGCCATTTCTGTAGAGCCCCTGACCACACATGCAAAAAATCCAAGTGAATATGAAAACAGCACAATAGGGTCTGTGTTCCTGAGAGAAGTTGGAAAGAACACAAAACGTTTGACATCTTTGTTTTTTTATATGAACCATGAGCATCTATTCATTGGCAAAGCCATAACTTCGAGCGTGCTTCTTTGTCCATGAAGTGTGGATGGTCTAGCTCAGAGGGCTGTGAGGAGACTTAATGAAAACAATGTACAAATGTGTGAAACACAGCACACACGTGGGTACCAGCCTGGGTTTATGAGAAGCTCTAAATATTCTTATCACCACATGGCCCAGAGTTGGAACCGACAGGGCCAGAGGACTCAAGTCCATTGGCTGTAGCCTTGCCTCCCCCTCCCCCCCCAAAACCCTCCACCTCCCCTCCCCGGGGAATGGGTCTCTAACCACAGTCTTTAGAGACACGTCAACCGGCTTTAGAACACCCCAGATTTGGGCATTTGGGTTCTGCTCTCCTGGGCAACAGAACCCTGGTTTTTCTCACCCAGTCACCTTTCAGGAAAGGAAGAAGAATTGAAAACACTGGGGATTTTTCCCAATAGAGAGAAATGCAGAAAAGGGCTAAAGGAGAGAGAGAGGGAGCAGAGTGGAAGCGCCCCTGAGAGAGTGAAAGCGCCCCTGAGCAGAGTGACGGCTCATCTCCACCAGTGGACCTGGGAGCTCCCCTCTTCCCACCGTTCCTCTGGTCCCCGATCCACCATCCGAACCCCTTCCCTGGGGCTCCCCTCTGGCCACCTGCCTGTGTCTGTTATCCTTCCCATGGGTCATCTCAGGGGGGAGATACTCAGGAAGGGTATGTAAGAAGTGGGGACCCCGCCTTAAGTTGGGAACCCTCAGCTACCTATAGCTTTGAAGCTGTTCATTTTCTGTGGTGTGATTAGGAAGCCTGCCCTAACTTAAAGTTGAGAGACCTGTGTTAGGGACCATATGAGATGAAACCGGAGTCAGAAGTTCCCTACCCAGATCTCTAGCAGAGGAAACAAAAACAAAACCGATTCATTATAGATTATACAGCGGCTTAGCAACAGGCGAGAGGGTGCTGGTGAAGAGCAACGGAGCCCTGACTCATTCCCATGGCCTAACCCTGCCGCCAAGGCCGTCCATACTTAGCCCAGGGGTCTGCAGGGTTCAGAGGGCTAATGAGACCACGCGCTCACAACAGTTTCTCAGCTGCCACTGGAATTGCCTTTCTAACACAGTTCCCATTGTGATCCTCAGCGGCTGAAACACCTTTGAGTTTCACACTGAAATACAAGCATCTTAACATGGCGTTCAAGGCCCTTCCCCATCTGGCCTGAGCTCG